AAAACCATTGGATTATACGGAAAAATAGGACTTACTTAAGGATAAATTTGGCTTCTAAAAAAAGTAGGCCTATTTCAAATCTTACAAAAGACGTTTACAGAGTGGAAAATGTCATTTACCCCTTTCTCGAGCCTTAATTATCGTAGATATACATCATTAATCGAGAGTTATTGATAAACGTTAAAAGTGGACAAGAGATAAAAAGAGTTGGTACGTGCAAGAAATTATGTATGAGCCATATCAGTTTTATTATTATTTTAAACGACAGTATTTTGAACGTAACGTTGAGGTAGAAGCAACACGAAGATGCGTGATCGGTAGGTGTGGTGAAATCATGTCGGGTTTTGATACCCGAACAATAAAAATTGTATGTAACTAATACTATCGAAGTGACACCGATTTGAAAATAATTTTCGTATCGTGTACCGTTCACACTACTTATAAAAAGTCATATAATAACATTGGCAAGGTTTAATTAGTTATACATAAAGGAGGAAGATGATCGTAACAATGCGCTAGTTCTGTCTAAAGGAGGATGATTCGTAACAATGGGCTAGTTGTATGTAGATGAGGAAGATTATCGTAACAATGCGCTAGTTCTATCTAAAGGAGGATGATTCGTAACAATGCGCTAGTTCTATGTAAAGGTGGATGATCGTAACAATGAGCTAGATGTATATAGATGAGGAAGATGATCTTAACAATGCACTAGTTCTATCTAAAGGAGGATGATTCGTAACAATGCGCTAGTTCTATGTAAAGGTGGATGATCGTAACAATGAGCTAGTTGTAGCCTATATAGATGAGGAAGATAATCGTAACAGTGAGCTAGTTGTATATAAAGGAGAAAGGTCGTAATAGCGCATGTAGAAGAGGAAAAAGATTGTAACAATGTATTAGTTGTATATAAAGAGGGAAGGTCGTAACAGTATACTAGTTGTATAAAAAAGAGGTAGACGAAAGCAGTAGTGTGACTTACTAGTTATGTAAGAGGAAAACAGTTGTAACAATATATCAGTCGTACTGTACACAGAACAGGGAAGATAATTGTAACAATATATTAGTTATATATAAAGAAGGAAGAATGTAGAGACAATATACTAATTCTATATAAAGAAGAATTGGCATAGTCATTCTATACAACAGGAATAAGATCGTAACACTATAGTTGAAAAGTCATAATTTTTTATCTAAATATAAAGTCTATGTTTAAATTTAACATTTTAAATTCTTTTAAGTGGTATTATTTCGTTTTGACACTATAGATTCGTGTCTATCTCCTCTATAAAAGGGCCTGTATTCTTAGAAGTTCTTAAGGTTTGTTTAAAACTTATTTCATTTCAGAATTGACCTGATTTATATACATACAGTTTATTTTGAAGTAGTATTAGCAATGCAAATCTCTCATTCTACTTTAAATTTGCAGGAAACAATAGTCTATAGAGTCTATTACTTAAATATATAGGCTCTATCTAAAGTATATGGCTATAAAACTATTTCTCTTACTAGTTACTTTATTCTAACCATCTTAAATCTTTATTTAAAGCTTGATTAAATGTGTAATATATACAATTTTATTATTTTATTCGAAAGTTTGTAGAAATATTTATCAAAAATAGACACAAAATTAAAGTTTTCGTCCACTAGAAACTGTTTATTACTCTATAAAGAGCTATCAAAAATTTTAAAAAATCATTTTTATTTAATGTAAATTTAATACAAAACGATTAATTATAGACTAATAATTGTTTTAATTATAAAATTTAATTATTTTATCCTGATTTTCTATTGAAAATCTCCTGAAATACCATATTTATGCATGATAACTATGTAAATATATAAATTGTTATTTATATATTAAAATTCTATATAAATCTATTTGTTTAATATAAAAAACAGATTTTAACGTATAGATATAACAGTCAACAGTGCATAATATATAAAAATAATAGCTTGATAATTAAGGGAAAGGTCGAAAAATCCGAAGAAGAATGCTAAAGTTTCTACAACTTCCCGAATTCTACTGAAGTTTTTAGAAGACAATTTTAACTGTAAATTATCAAAAATAATAAAAATAGTTTATGTATATAATAATAAAACATAATATGAATGGATTTTAAGTTATACTTTCATAACAGTTGAAAAATAACTGCATACAGTAGACTGTAGTAACAGGATAAACGATGCAATTAACGTGAATCTCCTTCGATATCACATAATCTAGCATCTATTGTAGAGAATTTATATTATATATTTGGCCTACATTTATAAGAATATAGAAGATAAAAGAAAAGGATTTAAAAAATCAACCACAAAAATTAAGCTTTAGAAGATGATAAATCGTTGTTTTGGATGAGGAGAATGACGGATCAGAGATGATGAAAATCGTCTCTGATCCGTGATTTTTTATTATTTTTTTTCATTGGAAATGGTTCTTAGTTTTCTATTTTTCTTTGTAAATTTATTTTATTTTTGTCTGGACGATTTATTCGTTAGAATCGATTGTAAAGAACCGACTTCAAGTTTGCGACTGAGAGGTGGAATCCAGTCACGTATAGAAGTGCACATGTACAAAAGGTTCTTGCCAACAAAAAAAAAGGAGGTTTAATGATTGATTTTTCTGGACAAAAGATCACTTTGACTGGAAAATAACGATTACGGTAACAAAAATAATACAGAAAAAAAAAAGATTGTTTTTCGTTAAAATTAATTGTCGAGTTCAAACACTTCTGATTATTTTTCATCAAATTTCAAGATAACGAAATTTTTTTATTGCTACTTTTTATAATTAAAATATTGAGTAATTCGATTGTAAATAGCTTGATTAATTAATTAGGCATTCGAAACGTTCGTTTAAACAATTAAATTGATCAAAAATTTGCTATTTTTGCGCTTGAAAAGTTGCGACGTAATAGAGCAAAAAAACGTTTAGTATAATAGCAAATTTCTCAATTTTAACGGATGATTTTCGAATTTCTTGAGTTAAATACGAATACAATCGAATGATTTAACACAAAAGTAGAGAAATTTGGGCAAAGGAGTCGTTTTTAAGGACGAAAAATGCATGTTTTTTTTCAGTAAGGAAGACGAGAAGGCGCGAGCGCAAAGGGTAACTTCTTTTTTTTTTCTTAGCTGCGAGTTATTGTCTTACCGATACTTAATAGCTTTTATAGAAAGGACAAAAATGAAAATAAAAATACGTAATTTCGAAGGTTCTTATATAATTCCGCAGGCTGTGTTTAACTCATGTGATTCCGAACGAACGAAGCAGCAACCCCAAACGATCTTTTTGGTAAAAGTGTAAAGGCAAAAAGTACGTATCGGAAATCGATGGATTGTTTAATGTCGTTCGAGATAAGAGGAGAGAAAAAGATGGAATTTTTCTTTTGTGAATCGAGAGCAAATGTCGACAGCAAAGAATAAGTTTTGAGTGATGAAGTTAAAACGTGAGTTTGTCGTTTGACTCGATTCTTGTAACGACTTCTCCCGATAATAAAAGACAGATTTGACTAAGAATTTATAAATAATTCGCTTCTTGACAGTTGACGACGTTAAAAATGAGAGTAAACATTCGAAAATATGTAGAGAAATTTATATAGAAGAATACAATGGATTCGGTTAACCAAATTTTGCGTCACATGCACATTAAGAGTGGCCCAAAAGTCGTTAACTAACGTATCGGAAAGACTAAATTTCTTCCGCACTACTACACTTCATCGTTATTTAGTACAAAAATTAAAGCCTTCTCTAGAGGTTAACTGACTTTTAGACCGCCCCTTCGTGTGAGTATAACGTTTAAAATTACGGTAAAGGAGAGTAGAAATAAGGACAAAGTGATAAATTGTCGGAGCGATTCGCACGGTTAAACGAGCGTTGCGTATATATAGCATTAAAATTACGAGAAAGGAGTATTTGGAAAAAGAAAAAAATAATAATTCTTTCAACTGACTTTTGGGCCACCCCGTATATAAGTAGATGATTTGAAATTACGGAAAGGGGAGCGTAGAAAGGGGGGGAAAGAAAACAATTTGATAGAAAGTGTAACAGAAGAAATGCTGGCGTATAAATGAGGAAGGCACATCAACAAGTAGGCCTATCCTATATTTCACAACATCTACAAACCGGAATAGAGGATTATCCACTGACCTAAACACCATCAGTCATTTGACGATGTTTTCCAAGCTCCTCCATTTATGTTTTTTCATTCACCCACGCATTCGTTGAAACATGTCACGAAGCGACTAACCCTTAGTCGGTTGAGGTTAAAGATCAAATCTGACAGCGGCTTTAAAAAAAAGAAATATCGCTTCCCATTGTATAATCCTGTTTGACAAATTAAAAATACGACAGTAAAAACTCTTCCTATTGGTTACAGCCAATACAGCTGTATCATTCATTACAAACCCTTGAGAAAACAGTCGAGTATCTTGAAACATCAATCGTTTCTGCTTTAAAATATGTTTTTATTTTGATTATTTTACACATTTTTAAAGTAATCTCATGCATTTGTTACGACTGTAACGGAATTTTTCGTAACGCATCATATATTAGAACCACGAGTAACACGTCACTCTATAAGGATTTCTATTAGTATAATTGTTTAGAATATGAAGATTTTTTTAGTATATTAGAGTTTTAAACACCATTTTACTTGTAAATTATCGAGCAGAAACCTAAATATAACCCTCAAACGGCACCTCCTTAGACTCTTGTAACTCTATAGAACCGTAAGAAAACGTAGAATTACCATTTACTAGAACTCTAAAACACTTATTAGAGTTATGTAAAGTATATTTATGATATTTTAAAGATATTTTAATGTTATATAATCGATTATAACATTTATAACAGCGTTTTTCTAGCTTAACATTCAGTAAACCTCACTGTACAGATATATAAAATGCCAGTTAATAGCAAGTATTATAGCTTATTAAGCCATAAGAACTTTAGTAAACTATTATAGAATGTTAAATATTCCTGATATTAGTCTAAATATCTAATTAATCTCCTAAAAATATAAAGAAAAATCCTTTAAAATGTTTTCAGAATATACTAAATTCCTAAGTGATTGGTTTGCGTGGCTTTAAACACGTTACTAATGGTTTATAACTCGTTAGAACACTGTAAACACGTTATTAAGAAAACTATTTAGAGTTTTTAATAATCTATCACTCATTAGAATCCAAAAAAATAATTTTTTTTAATTAAACCATTCATTGAGAGAGGAGGAAAAAACTAGAAATTTTTAGTTATGTATAATTAGAATCTTAAATAATTTAATAGAATATTCATTAGAATCTTAAGAAAACGATTCATTAAACCCGTATCATTCATTAAAGTTTAAGTAAATTGAATATTTAAAACAAGAGAAAACGTTTACACGATTAAAACAAGGCAACAATTAAGTATCCTATTAGCAGTTTGTCACCATAAATCTACTAAAAACAATCAAACAAATTTGATCAGTAAACAAGTCGAATGATAATTCTTATCTTTAATTAGAAACTATAAATATTATAGAAAATTAATTGATTTCCATATTGGCATTGTGTGTTACGTCAGGGGTTTTAGTTTAGTTTTATCCCATCCTTAAAAAAAAAAAAAACGCGTACCATCTCGTTTGCAATTGGGCAAACTTCCTCAGTCCAGCCAGGAAGATTCGGATTTGACAACGAACAAAGAAAGCAACTCACGTTCAGTAAAACAGAAACGGGGAGGGAGGGAAAACGACGTTGTAGGGAGGGATCACGAGCAGAAGATTTCCAACCCCCCGCTCGCCCCCTTCGCCTTTTGCAAGCCGTTCATTAGAATGGCTGAAGGTACGGTGGAAAGATAATAGACTTTTAAAATAAATAGTCCCAGACAGACATGATTTGTGGGCGAGTTCAACACTCCGCCATTGAACCCCAGTCCAGCGAACGTAACTAGTCTTGTATTCATGATGGTGTTTAACTGTCTGATACAGTCTTGTGGATTGGGAGGTTTGTTTACAATAAATTGAACTAGTGTTTTCGGTAATGGATTTACGGCGTTTAAAGATAAATGTTGATAGCTTTAAGTTTAGATTGGTGAGAGAGAAAGAGAGAGAGAGAGAGAGAGAGCATCCAATGAAGAGAGATGGCCTCCTATCGTAAACTCCCCAATCATTAAAATTGCGTATGGAATATAAAACAAAATTTCCTTTTTTTTTAAAAAAAAACAAAATAAATTATTAATAATAATAAAAGATTACATGTTTAAAATTTATTTTAAAATGATTAAAATGAATTTCTTCTACCTATTTTTCCAAAATTGAAGGATTCTCGAGTCACTTTTCGTGCTTTACAGAGCGGTCTAAAATCGAGGATTTTTACATATATTTTAGAGAAAATAATTTAAATTAATGATGTTTTAACAACTAAATATTATAATTTAAGTGAATTTTCGCATTTAAATCGGTTATTTACTTGCGAATTAATACAAATCTTCATCAAAGAGTCTCTCTCATCCCGACTCATCCCCTTTATGGTGTAAGAATTTATTATTAAAAGCCATTAAAACACTTATTTTCTCATTCAAGGAGGCGAAATAAATAATTCTAACGAATCAAATTAACGAAAAGAAACGATTTAAAACGAAAATATTCTTATAGTGTTTAGTTTAAAACATCAGAATTTAGAGAGGATAAAAAAAAATAAAAAAAATAACACTTAAAAATGACGGGAACATAAACTTTCATCAGAGAAAATATTTTATAAGCCATCAGTAAAGGAAGAGATTACAAGGAGTAGAAAAAAGAACAGACAAGATCTGAGGTCCAGATAAAGTCGGAGGGGTTGGGTCATAGGATGAAAGTAAAAAGAAAAAAAAAAATTAGTCTTCCCTTCACGCGCAGTTTGGTGATTAATGTTGCAAAAAATTGTCCTCGTTTTTCCTCAACGCTATAGTCTGACGTTCTGATTGAGAACCGCCTCCTCCTTTCTCTAGTCTCCGTCTTAGCCACGCCTAGAAAACGTCTCCCGTCTTCTCAAGGACGTTGCCTTGGTAACGGCTCCACCTACTCTTCCAACTAAGCCACGCCCACCCGCATTCTAACAGCAGATTGAAGTAAGGATTGGGATGGGAGAAGTCGAGCTGATCGTTCTAGGTGTGCCCCTCACTCAATATACTAAGGGGCGACGACCAAGGGAGTGAATGTAATCAAGAAGCTCTTTAAATGGTTATTGCGTTGTAAAAATTAAAATTCGTCTCCTAACACTGCATAAAATTCTTTTAAAATTAAAAAAAAAAAAAAAATAAGTGTTTTTCGTGTGTCGGCTTTGGCAAAACGAAGTTTTGCTACACTAAACTCCACGTTAAACTCCACCCAAATAAAATCTCACCGTGCCACACGCTGCTCTTACTAATGAAGATTAACGAAGAATACGCAAAAATTGAAATTTAAAGTTAAGAATAAATACTAGAAATTGTTCTTACAACTCTTAAAATCAGGAATTTTTGTATTCCAGGAGGAATTTTAAGCTACTAAACTTCACCCTGCTTCAACACGTGTGATTGGGTTTACGAAGCGAGTAACAAAAAAAAACAAAATAAATGCTAAAAAAACACGTTATAATTCTTAAAATTAGAGGTTTTATTAGAATTTAATGGTAGAAAATGCTTACTAAATCCAACACCGAGCTCAATCCACGTGCCCCAGGCAAGGTTTATCAGTTAAAAAATAAATAATAATAATAACCATTGCCCCAAGCGCGCTTAACCGCTTACAATTAAAGATTAATTAAGATAAATAAGAAATTAGATCTAAAAATTAAACGAATAAATCATAAACTTACCAGAAAAATAGGCGAAACCGGAATTGGGTGCTCCCACCATTTCCGGACTGTCATCCAATCCATCGGGCGACATACCCGGTCGTAAAGGTCTCATGGCGCGCCTGGGGCTGCGGAAAAAATGGCGTCGGGCCCCCAAAGTACTCAGTTGTTTCATTCTTCTTTCTTTAGACCGCCTATTCTGGAACCACACCTGGACAGGTGGAAGCAGAAGAGAAGAGGAAAAAAAAAGGTCCCCCCGAAGACGGGGAGGATGACAGAAATTAATGAAGTGAATCTCGTATGGGGGAAGATAATTTCAATTTTTTTTTTTTTTAACTTTTTATAATCTAGTTTTTAAAAAGTTGGAATTAATAGCGCGTTGATACTGGTTACTCTAGTTAGAAACAATGGCACATTGCAAGATTTAATACTATTTTCACACGTGGATGATCTTATGATCCTTCGCATTAAATTTCTCGATTTTTAAGCAATTTTTTAAAAAAATATTTTAAGGTAAATTCGTATAATTTGTTTAATAATTTGCTAAAAAAATTTTTTGATTGTTTCCATAATAAAGTTGAAATATTTAATGACATCTTCACACTTGGGTAATCTTACAACCATTTCAGCATCACCTTGAATTTCACGATTTTTAAACAATTTTGTACACACGACTTTTAAGATTTTTGAACGTTTCGAGTTAAATCAATATAAAATTGCCAAAAAAATTCGATTATTTCCACAGTAAAATCGATTTTTTTTTAACGCAGATGATAGGCCTTCGCGTAACTTTAGCGCCATTCTAAACTCCTGCACGATGTTTAATTTACAGAAAAATAGAATAAAATAAATATTTAAAATATTCGTGTAGATAGAACTTATACTTTGTCACTAAAACCGAACAAATTCTGCACCTATTAACATAGAACACGTTACTTTTGAATGTTACTCGACCCCCCTATTTAACGTAGAATACGCTACTTTAAGGGTTCTGATATAAGGTTTAATAGTTTTTTTTCTTCTATTCAGGATAATAAAAAACATAGAAAAAGTAACAAATTTATACAATTTTTCGGCCTTAGAAACGTGCGAATTTATCCATCTCTATAAATGCATATATATTTTTAAAAAATAAGAAGAAGAATAACTAATTTATCGAAAGTGATTCGTAGGAGGAAAGAAGAAAAAGAAGGGAGAAAAATTTATTTTATTTTATTATGATTTTTTTTGATAGAAGAGTCGTTTATTGCTACAGATAGTGTTTTTATCTTTCTCGCTAATCACATCATGTTAGCATATAAAAGATTGGAGCGGATTAGGTATTGTATCCCTGAATAATAATAGAAGTTTGATCTGTTTCACACGAGATTCCCTAGAGGTTGTCTTTCTACATCCTTAGACTATAGACTAGTCAAAAACTCGGGCAGCAATTTGCTTATGTAAAACGAGTTCGCCCTTCTTAAAGACATGCAAATCGTCGTTCGGAGTGCGTCGAAGAAATAAAAATGAGCTTCGTTTCCTAGATAAATATTCAGCCATTTTTTTTTAATTTTTTTTTTTCCTGTTTCTGCCACCAGCAGAGAGAGAGAGAAAGCGAGAGAGAGAGATACTAAGAGCCAAAGCAGGGCTTAACTTCACCCCACCCTTCTTTCAATCACATTTCCTCCCCCGGATATAAATTGAATTCTTCCGATGGGGGCGTGTATTATCGTCGTTTATTGGACGATTGTTTTAAGTTTTTTACTTTTAAACCAATAGCCGTCGTTGAAAAGTATAAAACGACACGTTGATGTTACGTCAGATATGAGCGTTGTTCTTTTTTTTTATTTTTAAATGTTTTTTGCTAGTAAAAAATTGGATATTTTTTTTGGCCCGGAAAGTGTCTGAAAACCTAAAATTTCGGTATGATTTTAATAGGTAGACGGACAGAATAAGGAAGAAAGTTGGGATAAATCCGAAGAGGAAGGTAAAGTATAAAAAATATATAAGTGAGCGGCATGATACGTTGAAAACAATGGAGACATGTGACGGCCTACAAAGGTTGTAGAGGAAAGGGGTTGTCAAAATATAAGCCGCGGGCCAAGCTGCAAGAAGGGATGACCAGATAACCGTTATTAACGCAGTCCGGTTGTCGAGGGTTACGGGTTAATCTCGAAAGCAAGAGACCGTAACGCGCGCCCTTCTATACCAAGGGTGTAATTTGGTTGGCCCAATGTCGCGCCAAGTTCGATACACACACACACATAGGGAAAAAAAAAGTCTTTGTCTCTTCTTCTACCATCTGCAATGCTGTGAACTTAACTTATTGGCAGCTTGAGCTTAGTGCAGGGGTATAAAAAGTGTTATGCGAGGCACTCAAAGAGCTGGATGTAGTTATTTTGCAAGGAAAAAAAAAGGTTCAAGAACAGATAATAAATTATTGTGTAAGCTTATAATTTTCTTACTTGAGAATTAAAAACAACTGAAATTTTCTTTTTATTTAAGTAATTTAAATGTATATTAAGCCATTTGGGGGGGAATTCTTTGTTAGTTTCTTAACTTTCGCATATTTTAAGTCGAGAGTTATAGACCTATTTATTTATTACATTAAAGAATATTTATATGATTTCTGTAGATAAAACTTAATAAAATTAAATAAAATTTATAGTAATAAGCTTCTGGTATACAAGAAACTCGTAAATGATAGTTTTCATAACATATTTCTAACACCACTCTATGCAAAAAAATATATCATCTTTTGCTACAGGCCTAGCTTAGAATCTGTAGGAAAAATACTTTAATTTAAAATAAAATCTAAAATATATTTTAAAAATTTCTTAGATTTATAATTAGAGAAATTTCTAAGCTTGAGAAGAAGTTAAAAAAGCTAACTGAAGAAGCTAGACTTAGTTATTTTTGAACGTGAAAAATCTGTCTTACTTTCAGAGTCTCTCTCTCTCTATACGAAGTTTTAAAAATTCTAGAAATTTTCAAATTCAGAAAATCTAGAAGCAAAATTTAATTAAATTTCTTACTTCAGTAGAAACGCAAGAATATAAAAAATAAACTAAGTTTTTGTATGGTTTTAAATGGCGAAAATTAAATTTACTCCAGTTAAACGCGCGTAGTTTTAAAACGTCGAGTAAGCAGTATTTATATACATTTTTTTTTCTTTTTTTGTATTCAAAATTGAAATTTTAGTCGAGTTAAAGCGTAGGAAATGGAAGAAGACGAAGAAGTAGTTAAATTAAGGATATTTTAAAGATTATAAATGCGTTTATCCGAATTGGAATAAGCGTTGAAACTGGAGGAGGAACGGGATCGATACCACTAACTTAAAAAGGTGCAGAAAGACAAAACAAACGGAAGGGTGCAAAGTTGAGGAAGAAGCGCTGTGGCGAATGTCGGATGAAAGGAAAGCGCCGCACAGAATCGATGACAGAAAATGGAGAAGACAAGGCGATAAGAACTTCAGTCCAGCGGTGGGGATTAGGGTCTGCCGCGGCCCCGTCTGCCTGCAAGCCTGCGATAAGGTAGAGTTTTCGCCTGGCATAGCCTCGGGCAGCCAGTCGGCCCGATAACGCTTCAACCAACGGTGGCAAGTCGGCCGCCACTTGCCACACCACTGCCGTGTTGATACACTGCCCCGTTAACTATTATCAACCCCAATAGAAGCTGCTAATGAATCCGCTGCGCTACCACCTACCCAACACCCTCTACTTAACATCTTCGAGCTGATGGCCCTAGGAAGGAATCGCGCGTTTTGGGTTTCTTGGGGCTGAGATGCTCCGGGACACGTCCAGAAGGCTGGACTGTCGTCATAGTAACGTGGTTAACACGTTAAACCACCCATCAGTTGAAGTGGAGAAGAATAGTGACGAATATGCAAGATGTTTTCATATTATTTACTGTTTCATTCGGAGAACGTTGTATATTTTGAAGAAATCAAAGCGCATTGCAATCCTACTCTTCTAGAGAATAAAGTGGAGATTTTTTTTAACTTTTATAGCTGACATTCGAGTTAATTGATTAGCTGAAGACCATTAAAGAAATACCTAAACAGGGCTTAATATTCTGGGATTAAACTAACCAATAGAATCGATCTAGTTAACATTCCATTTTTTTAACACGTTCCTATGCCTTTTGTAGCCATAAACGATAAAAGTTAGGTGTTAGTAAAGTTAAAGAGGGTCGTTTAGAATCCCTTCGGTCCGATAAATATCTAAATGCATCTATAATACTAATGCTAAAAGGACGTATTTGGGCAATCCATTTGTCGACCGGTCGAGAATAACAGAGCAATCAGAACTAGGCATCTGTATCCATACACAATGTCCAGCACATTGGACACAGCGTGTACACGAGCCAGACCACAACACACTGACAGAGACAATGATAGATGAGACAGAGGTTGGTACTGGTCTTGCCCAGCCTTTCGTGTCCTCCACAGAACAAGTCGTTAGACCTAAACGTGCCTTACGCTCCACTGGCTCCGGATTAAATGGCCGACGGTAGCAATATCGGAGTCTGTCAATTCCTTCTGTGGTCTGGATGCCATTCGGGTGAGAGAAATTATACTTTGGAATTGCACAGGTCGTGACGGTAAAGCTTTTGTTTCAAAATTGCATGTAGAAATGGAAATGTATTAAGTTCACCCTTCAATATAAGATTTAAAAAAATAATAATAATAAGTTTTAAACCATTTAATTTAATATAAAATGAGCATCAGGCATTAAAAAAGTGCCATTTTTTCCATGATTAACCATCCAGTTTTTAAGTATTAAAATGGGAAAATTTCCGGAATTCTTGTCAATAACAGCATCCAGAACAATATATGATGGTACTTTTATGTTTAAAATAACTGATTGTATGCATTTTAGGCAATAAAACAAAAACGGGAATCTATAAATCGTCTATAAATTTCTATCTTCGTGTGGAGAGTTAGGAGAAAATATATGTGTGTATATATATACACAGTATAAAATGTAGAAAGATTTTCTATTCATGCAAATGGAGTTGTATGTAAAAATATTCTTTCTGCATATTTTTTTTTATAAGTTTGTGTGCTTAATTCTTTGTTAGATGAGATATTATGATGATAACAAAATAGGATTATGATCGATGAACGAAGGGTATCACATTGCATCGTATACTCAGCCTCTTATTATCTTAATCGGAATGTGGAGCAAATCCCGATTTTGAAACGAATCTATTATTGTTATTATTATTTTA